TGAAAGGTTAAGAATTTCCAAATCTTGATCTCTAAGTGCTCCCGTTGGATTTCAGCGGCACCAATTTTTATCATGGATTTTATGTGTTGGATAGAGTGCTGGAACTGGAATCAGGAAGAACTGAGTTCAAATCCTACCTCCCACTCTAACTATGCGACCATGGCCAATCTCTCTGAGCAAAATTGGGATTAATCATATCCGTCTTACCTACTTCTCAGAGTTGATGAGATGCACAAATGAGATAATGTACAGAAAATGCTTTGTAAACTTTAACATGCTACATAAATTAGTTATTATTATGACACCTAAAAATAATTAATATTTAAATTTTACATTATAACCCTACTAGCAAATAATTATATTTAATCATCTAAAGCAACTTCATAATGCAGTATCTACATGATAAATACAAAAGAAGCCACCAAACCCAAACCAACTTTGAAAAGGTAACACAAATGGTACTTCACATCAATAAAATGAGGAAGGAAAAACAAAGCTAGAAAATTGCAATTATCAGTGCCTCCAATCAGCTCTGACCTCCCCTTTCATCACCTTTGAAGGATGGCTTAACTTGCTCCCATATGGATAACAGTTGATTTTTCAGATTGGGTCCTTTGGAATCTTTCAATTGATTTGCCAAAAGGAGTAATCATAGAAACCAGGGTCTCTTTGGCTAGGCCTTCAATCTTTGCTACCAGTATCACCCTTCTCTTATTTTGACACTCAAACTAAACATGACAGTGAGATAAGAAGATGAAAAGCTATCCCTTTCTTAGAAAGCAAGCCCCCCCAAGATATAAATCATCTGTATTTACCCAAGCCTTTCCATATGTCTAACATTCTGGGAAAGATTTCTCTCCATGTTTTTCTTGCTTTGCCACAGAATTGAAACGTGTTTCCTTTTCTAGCCTCAAAAGATAAATACTATGAATCTGTTTTCCATATGGCTCACATCATCCAAAACCATGTCTCTCTTCTAAACATCATTAATTTTTTCCTTATTAAATTAATGGCTGCCAAACACTTTTTAAAACTATAAACCAATATAATAATCCCAACCAGCATTCAGTAGGAAGCAGGATGGGTCTGATCAGGGACATAGAATCAGACAGATCCACTGGGGAAAAAGTCAATCAGGGGAAATCCCAACAGGACAACAGACTGAGTCAAAGATATTTAGCCATCAGCAATGAGTAGACGTCTCAATGGGCACAGAATCAGGAAATCTGACAAGCAAAAGAAGAAGTTCCAGGCATGCAGGCAGTCAGCATCAGGTATCAGAGACCCAATCACAGGGCAGATTTTGTTTAACAGCAAATCTCATCTGAATGACAATTCATAAAACCAATAAAGTAATTGGTAGGAAGGAAACTGCCTGAAACCAGATATCTACTTCCTGAAATTGAAATCATGTAGAATTATAAAACTCAATTATAAAACTCTTTTCATATTTGGTCTATCAGAAGGAGTACTAATCAGAACAAGTACTTTAGAAAGCTATTTCAAATATATATTGAGAGCATTTGAAAAGTAAAACTGTATCTAGAGAAAAAGGATAAATTTTCTTCTGCATAATGAAGCAAATCAGATTTTTGTTGGAAATGAATGGAGATAATAACAAGAAGACAGATTTAATGATGACATAATAGTTATCTTGAAATGTATAGAGGCCTTTTGTCTCAGAGAAGAGAGAAAAAACCTGTTAGCTCTGCTTCAGGTGGTAGAACTAAGAACAAAGGGCAGAAGATCGGAAAAAGTATGATTTATACACAAAACAAAGAAAGACTTCCAAACAATTAGCGCTGTCCTAAAGTGGTATGGGCTGCCTTTGGGGGATGGTGGGTTCTCCTATTTATTTGTTATTTATTCTGATCAGAAAACTTCAAGCAGAGGATAGATAATTTCCCCTTAGGGATATTATAGAAAAGACTCTGAGTGAGATGTTGGATAAGTTGGACAAGATCTAAGGTCCCTTCCAACTCTAAGATTCTGTGACTCCATGACCATTTTTAACATAAAGGACAGAATGTGTATTGTTTCTTCTTTGCCTTTTACAAGGTCTGTTTTTCAACACCTCATGATTCTATGAATACAGAGGGTAATGGGTGAGTGTTAGTTGTTGTCCTTCATTCTCAAAGAGGACCAAAATGACATTACTATGTTAGAGTCAAGGTACAACATGACTGACTGATCAGACCAATACAAGCTTGGAATGCTCTACCTAGGTTGGGCACATGTGAACATTTGGGGTGGATTCTCTAAATTTGCACATCTTGTGTTTCTTTTGAACTACTTCAATTCTGCTTTGCTCATGGAGCACAGCACCACCTCTGATGAGGGCACTCCATGCTGGGTGGTCCTGTGCCAGTGTCTCCCATGTCATGCAATCAATTCCAAAGTTCTTAAGAGAGATCTTGAGAATATCTTTGTATAGCTTCTTCTGACCACCATGTGAATGTTTGCTCTGTATGAGTTCTCCATAAAATAGTCTAGTTGGCTCAGTGGATAGAGTGCTGGGTCTGGAGTCAGGAAGACCTAGGTTCAAATACAGTTTCTGACATATAGTAGCTGTGTGACCATAGGCAAGTTACTTAACCCTGTTTGCCTCAGTTTCTTCATCTGTAAAATGATCTGGAGAAGGAAACAGCAAACCACTCTAGTCATTTTGCCAAGAAAATTCCAAATGTGTTCAGTCAGACATGACCAAACAACAACAGGGTGAGTGTAAACAGGCTACAGCATATACCCAACAAGAATTCAAAAGACAAACAATAGTAAAGGACACTATCAAGAAATTCTATGATAGGAAAAGGAAAAGAAGGGCTGGTTATACAGAAAGATTGATTGGTAGTTGACAGGGAAGGCAATAGTGTTCCACTGGCAACCTTATGATGCTGGCAAAGTGAAAGGAAGGCCTCCAGAACATTGGGTGGATCCCCTATGGCAAGCTTTTGGGAAGACATGGGCAAGAGTTACACAGGATGGTTAGAAATGGATAGTTTTGGCTCTGTATTTTCAGAGGGAACTCCAAAACCTATCAGTCAGTCAAATAACACTTATTAAGTGCCTACTATGAGCCAGGCGCTGTGCTAAGTTCTGGGAGTACAAAAAAAAAAGCAAAAGAAGCTCCCTCTTTTCAAGGACCTCTCAGTCTAATGGAAACAGATCTACTTAATTATTTAAATATAATTCATAGATTTAAAGAATTTTAGAGTTGTGAGGTATTGAAAAACAGGTAAAGGCAATAGATATAGAAGAAACACAATTTGATCACTTTCTGTAGATAAAATGATGGTGTATTTAGAGAACCCTAGAAAGTCAACTAAAATTAATTAAAATAATTAACAACCAGCAGAGTTTTATGATATAAAATAAATCCATGTAAATCATCATCATTTTTATATTTCCAATAAAACCCAGAAGGAAGAAATACAAAGAGAAATTTCATTTAAAATAACTACAGAATATATAACATACTTGTGATTCTACCTTCTAAAATATACACAGGAACTATATGAACCCAACTACTAAACATCATGGAAATAAAAACAGATCTAAAAAATTGGAGAAATATTAGTTGTTCATGGGTAGGACAAGCCAATATAATAAAAATGACAGTACTACCTAAATTGTTATTGTTCATCCTTCCCTCTCAAAGAGAATCGATGACATCGCAAGGGTGATGTCTTGCCTTCCTCATGAACTGAATTTAAGTGAGGCAAAGCTGAGCAAAATGATCAGCCCCATCCGTCCTCTAGAGTCACTGGAGTCCAGTGGCAAGACAAAGTTAAAACTGGTGATTATCTATTCAGGGCCATATCACTTAAACTACCAAAGGATTACTTTATAGAACTCAAAAGAAAAATAATGAAATTCCTCTAGAAGAATCTTAAGAGAAATACGGAAAAAAGTAGAAAGGAAGATGGTGTAGCAAAACCAGATCCAAAACTTTATTACAGGGCAGTAATCAAAACAATTTCATACCGGTGAAAAATAGGTTGATTAGTGGAGTAGATTAGGTATAAACCACACAGAAGCAAATGAAACTGGAAACCAAGTATTCAACAAACCCAAAGACCCCCTTACTGAGCTAATGATAGTTTTGACAAAAACTGGTGGAAAAACTGGACAGCAGTCTGGCAAGAACTAGATTTAGACAGACACCTTATATCATATACAAAGGTAAGCTCCAAATGCAAAGGGAAGTTGTTAGATGACTACAAGTCATAGCTTGAGCTTAAGATTAAGAAAGGTGGAAGGTTAAGAAAGGTTAAAGGACTCCTTTAAGTAACACAGCTAGTGGCAGCACAAAACTAGAGCTTTGATACCCTGGTGAAAAATTCAGGCTTATTTGGAAACAGCTTCAAATAGCATCAACTAGGTAACTCTTTACCAGGAAAGCAATGAGAATGATCCAGTTATTTCCTTCTCTTTCAGGTCCATGCTACCACTCTGTACCCCATGTATCCTCTACCAAACATACACACACACACACACACACACCACCTTGTAAACTTTAAAATATGAATTGACAATAGCAGAAGAGATATCCAGATAAAAAGGATGCCTGCCTGTAGACAATGGCTGAGCTATCTGGATAGCTTAAGTAGTAGGGGTTTGGTTTTGGTTTTTTTCATCCAGGAATGTGAGGTCTTTGAACTCAGTGACCACTTCATCTCCAGCACCTAGCATATGGGAAGCATACAGTAGGTGTTTAATAACTATTTAACAATGGATTTTTTCTGTCTCTATAAATAAGGCTCGTCCTTAAATGTGCTTTCACATTCATGGAATCTAGACTTTATTTTTCTCCCAAACCTTTACAGTTGCAAAACAAAGGGATGTTTTCTAATGTTGACATTAGAAATAAGAAGAGAACTCATAATCACTAAGATGGCAACTAGTGACTACTGTAAAATAAGAAAGAACTTAGATGAAACAAATAAATCAACTATGAGATGGATTCCCCAAAGAAATAGCACAGCCAAAAAACAACTGACCTTCTGCTGGTGGCGATGGCTTACTTCCATTTCCTTTGTCTACAACCTTGGCTTTGGGTTTAGGCTCTTTTCTTTTTTCTAGATCTTTAACTGAAAGAAAAGTGAATAAATATATTAATGGCTTTAGCCACAGATACCTAGGAACTATCAAAAGTATCAAGTATAATAACTATGACAACAATAATAGCTAGCATTTGGTTTGCAAAGCACTTTACATATGTTAACTCATTTAATCTTCACAATTACCCTGTAAGGTAGGTGTTATTATTATCTACATTTTACAAAAGTTTCCAAAAAATTGACATTTTGCATTGGTAGAAGAGGGTTTTCTCGCCAGAAGTTCCATCAAATAAATCATGCCTGGAGAAAAGTAAAAAAATTGTAAAATATCTGAAATAAAATAGTCATTATAGACCAATTACTCCAAACCTTTTATTTTACAAATGAGGAAATTGGAACCCTGAGAGGTGAGGGGACTTGTCCAGTAGAACCTAATTCTTCTGACCTACATCTGAGGTTTTTTGCATTCTAGCAGGAGTAAAATTGTTTTCTCTTTCACTTTTACTTTCTCTATTGACAAACCATCGGGTTTTTTTGTTATTGTCTACAGTAACAAAACACTCGTGCAAGTCCACTAGCTTTTTCATGGTCTTTATTCTCCTTGGTCACTACATTTGACTATCATTGTTAACTTTCAAAATCAGAATAACTGAATTTAAGCTGGGAGGCATCTCAAAGACCTCACAGGAGCAAGACTCCCCTCTACATCATAAACTCCATGTGGACTTGAAGACCCCAGTGATGGTGAACTCAGCACCTTCTGAGGGGATAGCTCTATTTGGGGATAGTTCTAATTATTAGGCAGCTTTTGCTGACAGCAAGCTAATATTGTCTCCTTACAGCTTTTCCCCACTGCTCCTAGTTCTGCCCTCTAGGACCAAAGAGAACAAGTATGATTCCTCTTCCATGTGTCAGTCCTTCCGATATTTGACAATAGCTATCATGCACCTTTTTACTTTTGATCCTCATACGGCACGAACCAGAGGCCCTTTGCCAAACTGGTTAACCTACCCTTGGAACTCTCTAGCTTATCAATGTCCTCCCTAAAATGTGGTGCTCAGAACTGAAGACAATATTCTAGATGTGGCCTGACAAGGTCAGATTTCAATGAGACCACCACCTCTCAATCCTAGATACTGTATCTCTTAATGCGTCCAAAGATCTATTAGCTTTCTTGGATGCTTTACCACACTACTCACTCATTGAGATTCTAGTTCATTTAAACTCCTAAATCTTTTCTAGATATACTTCTACTATCTTGTGAACAAAATGGAGGTAAGTAAGCTAGACAATAATACAGTTAGCTCAACTTAGAACTGGTTGAATGGCTAGAACCAAAGAGTTGTCATTAAATGGTTCAGTGTAATTTGAAAGTGGGTCTCCTGGAGAATCCCCCAGGAATCTGTGCTTGACCCTTTGCTGTTTAACATTTTTATCAATGTCTTATCTAAATGATAAGCTTATCAGATTTCCAAATGACAAAAAGCTGAGAAGGATAACAAATACACTGGATGAAGAGGCAGCTAGGTGGCTCATTGGATAGAGCACCGGCCCTGGAGTCAGGAGAACGTGAGTTCAAATCTGGCCTCAGACACATAACACTCACTAGCTGTGTGACTCTGAGCAAATCACTTAACTCGAATTGCCTCACAAGAAAAAAAAATATACTGGATGAGAGAGAGAATCAGGATCATGATCTTGACGGGCTAGAACAAAATAAAGACCACAACACTCCCAAGTGTGACCCAAACCACATCAAAATGTAATTAGGGAACATTTAAGGAAAAAATATAAATACAATAAAAATAGATGATATCAATATATTTTTCTAAGTCATTATGGAGCCTGCAGGGATCCTTATGTATGGTTTAGTGGATCCTGGTTTCATTTGAGTTTGAGACCGATGGGTTAGAACTAGGGCATGACTCTAATAAGGTAAAATTTAATAGTGATAAGTGTGATCCTACACTTCCTGGGGATAAGACCTGTGATTTCATTGACATAGGGAGCACCCAGTGAGGGAACTTCTTCTCCCAATACAGATCATCCTCTCCTCTGCAACTTAGAATTTTAAATATTTTCCTACGGCACTAAGAGATCATATGACTTTCCTAGGGTCATACATCCATTAGCTATCAGAGGTGGTGATCGAAGCCAGATCTTCTTGCCTCTGGTACCACCCCTCTGTCCAGTACCATGGCATTTCACAGTCTTAAACCTCAATTCAGAAAATCAACTTCACAAGTAGAGAATGAGAAAAGTGTGATTAGGCGGCAATTCCTCTTTTTCAATATAGAATTCTCAAACATTGCAATATCATTGTATTTCTCTTATTTCTCTTCCTATTCTGACTCCTTACATTTTCTTTTGTTATGATTATAATGCACCTTATATAGACACATGATCATGGTTGCAGGCATGTTGAAGTGAAGTAATCAATGGGTCTGGAGTTAGGAAACCAGGGTTTAGATCAAAGTTGTGAC